CGCCCAATATCGCTTCTATGTCATATGTACAAACTGTTTGAAAGGATACTGTTGACCAGACTAACCCCCATCATAGAAGAGAAACTCATTCTAGAACAGGCGGGATTTAGACCGGAGCGTTCCTGTACGGGACAGCTCCTAAACCTAACCCAACACATAGAGAACGGTTTCATAACGAGTGTGGCGTTCGTCGACCTGTCATCCGACACAATCAATGTACGCAAGTTACTTGCCAAGTTATACCACCTAACCTGAGATTTCAACTTTGTCCGTATTACAGAAGCCCTCCTGAGTAAGGCTTTATGGTCTCCATGAATAACAAGAATAGCAGGTGGCACAATCTTAAAAATGGCCTTCTCCAGGGCAGTGTCTTGGCCCTCACACTCTTCAACATATATACCAATGACCAGTCCATCAGCCGGAACTGTCATTCCTTAATTTTCGCTGACGATCTCGCTCTGTCATCGCAATCAATTTTGCAATGGTAGAAAAAACCTCACTGAAGCTTTAAACCAGCTTTCTTGCTACTATAAAGAAAATGATCTCAAGTCAAACCCGGCTAAAACTGAAGTATGCACGTTCCACCTCCGCAGCAAGCAAGCTTCAAGGAAACACCAAAGTACGTTGGTGCGGCGAACTCCTTGCACATAACCCCGAGCCCCGATACCTTGGAGTCTTTCTTGACAGGAGCCTTACGTACAAGAGACACTGTACTAACACCAAAATGAAAGTTGAAGCCCGCAACAACATCCTCAGAAGATTGTCTGGATCTAACTGAGGAGCTGACCCCCAGAGTCCACCTATCCACTCTGCTACTGTGCATGTGAATACGCCGGCATAAATCCGCTCTCGCCAAGAAGGTTGACAACCGGCTTGTATAAATCTGGCCGCCATGTGACCGGCTGTCTCAAGCACACACCCATTCCACAACTCTCTGTTCTTTCGGCCATTGCCCCTCCAAAAATCCACCAGGAGATTTCCTGCCGAGTGGAGAGAAGTCGGTAGGTGAACGACAAACGCCACGGTCTGCGTGGTCAATCTCCCGCCCACCGAAGACTCCGTTCCCGCAAAAGTTTCCTTCAGACCAGTGCCCCTCTCCAGAACCAGCTGAGCAGGAAAGGCTTGACTTGTGGATGGCCGATTGTCTCCTATCAGGCCACTTCATAACACCCTCAGAGCCCCTGCCTTGGGGTTCCGATCAACCGTGGACCATATAGAGATCCCTAAACAGACTGCGTACGGGTGTTGGTAGATGTAATTACAACTTGCAAAAATTGAGATTCTTGTCCCAGAATGACCGTGATGTGCTTCTGCAGTGCTGAAGAGACAATGGAACATCTACTTTCCTGCCCGGACTGCCCTAATGGTGTATCCAGACATGACCTTGCCCTAGGAAACCAGAGAACCTTGGCTCTCTCTATTTACTTGCAAAACAGAATTTAGCTGTCCTCGACTTGAAATAAGAAGAAGAGGAAGAAGAAGAAGAGGAAGACGAGGAAGAAGACGAAGATGAAGAGGACGAAGATGAAGAGGACGAAGATGAAGAGGACGAAGATGAAGAGGACGAGGACGAAGGCGAAGAGGACGATGACGAAGAAGACGAAGATGAGGACGAAGAGGAAGAGGACGAAGACGAAGAGGACGAAGACGAAGAGGACGAAGATGAAGAGGACGAAGAAGACGAAGACGAAGAAGGCGAAGAGGAAGAAGACGAAGACGAGGAAGAAGAAGAGGAAGACGAGGAAGAAGTTAGAAAATACAAGGTCTAATAAGTTACCTTTAACATTTACAATGTCATGTTTTTGTAGAATATTCGCCACCAATAAAGTTTGAACAATGCAGAGAGCCGTATTCATAATATGCAAGGGAACTGATGTAGAATAAGTGCAAGCAGGCACTTCACCTGTCAGTATGGACCAGTCAAACCCAGGCAGATTGAAATCACCAGTGAGAAGGAATTTGATATCCAGAAACTGTTCTAAGATGTCTTGAATATCATGTTCATAAATCTCGTTCCTGATAATGGCTGTTCCTGATATTGGTGGAAAGTACACTGCTCCAATGATGAGGTTGAGATCACCCACAGTAACATGAATAAGATGATGTTATCAGCTTATCTGACAGAACTATATCTTGAATAGCAGTAAGTACACCTCCACCCCTCGCATTACAGCTCGAGGCAATAACATTAAAAGAGTATGAATATCTCTCTTCCATTTTGCCCATTAGTGACTCATCATCTAGTTTAAGTTCTAGGACATAATTAGAAATTCTATTCTCAATGGATTTCAAAAGAACATCAAAATCATCCAAACAGTGCTCTTGTCCAATTTGATTACGCTTGAATTCGACTCGTCCAGGATTCCAAAGAGAAGGATATATGTTCCTTAAGTTCATTTTTCAACTTATCAGTTATTATCACAAGCAATTCCTCAAGGTCAAACTTAGTAGTAGTTTGACAGCATTTAACAAAATCCCCATTTCGTAGCATCTTCAGGCGAGTAGTGTAACTCAGGTGATTAGGGTGCCTGCACAGTTTATATTTCGTCACAGCACTGCCCACAGCAAAAACTCTGGTACAACCTATATACCTGTTAGTATCAATTTCACCAACAGAGCTGTCATTGGAAGCAGACAGGTTTGCTCTAGGTGAAGACGTGTTCACCTCAATGGGGAATCAAATAGTTTTGGTAATGTTAATGTTAAACTCAAACTTCGACACTCATGATGTACAGTGGTCCATTGATGTTCTTATCAAATGTGATCCTTATCACCCTGCACTCACTGTTATATTGCCATTATTGCATCCAGTCGACTGTGATTTGAATTCTACTCATGTTTACGATTTTGAAAATGCTATTTGTTCCGATCTTAATATGATTGATTGGAGTTTCTGTCTTAGCCTAAACATGGATATTAATACAAACGTCGACATCTTTTTTAATATTCTCTATTCACTAATTGACTGCTATGTTCCAGTGAGGCTGATTTTAGGTAGCTCTTACCAGCCCTGGTATTCCATGAAACTGATCCATCTCCAGCCAGAAAACCAAGAAATTACAGAGATAAATGAAACAATAATGACATGAGAATTTGTCGCTTTTTCGTTGCACATTAGTACCCGAATAGAAATATTGATACCACAGAATAGAAGGAAATGATTTCAGATACCACAGAATTCCAGAAATACGAAATTTTGCCAAAATACCGGAAATGCGAAATTTGCCCGTGTGTGACTGTGAAAGAACGACTGTCCTTTGCATATAGGTTCCACGGACCAACAATGTACACCATGGTTTGACAACCATGGTGGACAGAATCAGACGTGCAGAATAAATTCAGATTTTCGGCCTCACATAAAAAGATGAAGTTTCACAATTATTATAATTGTAGAAGAATCAGATTTTGAAGTGATTTTAGTTTCAATGTATTATAAAAAGGACGAGCATATACATTTTACTTTCGTTTTTCTCCATTATGTTGTGCATGTTATTACAATGGAGCCTTTTATTGCATTTGTTTCAAGCATTCAATTCCTCTGCGCATCCACCCGCTGTGAAGGATTGGGGCTTGCAGATGCTAAGAAGGGATTCTCACAGTCATTGCTTTACTGGGGCCAACAAATAGGAATCCCCACATTCAAACATATTTTTGATATCTGCAGTCTTACATGTACATATTGCCATTGTTTGGAAAATGCTCGCAGAATTATCATCTTCAAGATTCTCACTAGGAGGGTAGCAAAGACAACATTTATTTATTTACGTTAAAGAGTGTGTGTCACGTACTATGAGGAGAAGGCTAAACGTGCAGGGGCATAATTTAAATTAACATTTATGCCCAGAAGTAAAACATGGGGCCATCTCAGCATTTGCTCAAGGATCAGGGAAACTAAATGAAATCCTAATCGAGATGGGGGTCATTGACCCAGAAGCTGAAGTACAACAGTTGTTACAGGTGCTTTAGAATTATTCAGTCCAAATGGTATTTATTACATTATACATCACTGTTAAAATTAATATTACATTCCTTTCGGATGCTCATAATAGTCTCTCATAGTATAGAAACAGTTGTGCAGTAGAAAAGATTTTACTTGGAACTTAAACTTTTGTATCAAATTTAATCGTTTAATTTCATCTGGTAAAGTGTTGTAAAATAATGTACATGTATTGTATGTGAATTCTTTGTAGTTAGCTGTTGATACTGGCACAAGGATTGTAAAAGCAAACATCATATAAATTTAATTTCAAAATTTTAATATTCAAAATTAAAACATTGCATAAATTCCACCTGGTTTAGGAGTCTCTATCTTATTTTGGATGAACAATTTGATTCGACAATGACAGCGCGTTATTTTACCACTTTTTTAAATTTGCCCGAAAGTACAAAAACATTTTTAAAATTAGCTTCAGCTATTTTACTTGGGAAAAGAGAATCACAAAGTGAATTCTATTAAGGAGACAAACGCCATTATGAGATCAAAAATCGAGTCGTAGGATAAAAATGCTCTTGCATAATATCTGTTCATTCTTTCTGGTTGTGGGAAGATAACGGAAGATCTTATAAGTAAAATATCTGTAAAATAACATGTGAAGAGATGGAATATTGGTGATATTTACCCAATTAATGGTTTAATAGAATCAACAATTTAGAGCAATAGTATCTTGTGAAGTTTTCAACATATGAGATTATTAATTTTTGAGGAAGTAATTTTTTTTTAATCTTCTGAATAATACAATAATGGATTCCACTAATATGTTGCCATTAAATGCAGTGCTCAAATACAATAGTAAACCCTTGACTTTAACTTGTAAAATATCATCTAAAATGTTCCCATTAACATTTGTGAGACTAATAAATCAATAAAATCAATGCAAATCTGTACATATAAACACATCTTATGAAACTTATCATTATTTGTGAATCATAACACAAATATAAAACCAAAAGAATCAACAAAATAACTCCTGCTATATTCTAATCTATAAATTTATTCTCAGTGCATATTGGTTGTGGAACTTCCGTTTTCTGAAGATGTGAATGAATTTGTGTTTCCTCGGGTGGTTCCTGAGAAAGAGGAACCTGATGCCGAACAACTGGCTGCTGTTGATGGCCTTATAGATGCAATGGACCTCACAAAGATTCCCATGTGAGTGTGTATTATATCAAGAAGATTTTCATAACATATGAATATTAGTTTTAGAGTACTAGATTCTAAAATCGGGTTCATGTTGTGTAATTCAATGTTTTTTGAGATTTTTCAGATGAACAGATTCCTTTAATTCCTAGATTTTATTGTCATCCAATCATGATTTTGTATTTGATTTGATTTATTTACTTTAAACAGAGAACAGTAAAAACTGTATGTGACGTCTGGGGGGGAAAATACAATCTGCGCACGTTTTCTTGCGCTACAAAATATCTTCCCTCCCTTTTACTGTATATAATTGAATGATTAATAAAAGTACCAACAAAGCGAGGTTGGCAACATTTGAATAACTAGTTTTTTCTCCCAAGTTATAGAGAACATAGTTCAGTGGTAAGAGAACTAGAGATTTGTTTTTTTAGTAATCCCAAGAAAAAAGCAACCCACACCCTGGCTCTGCTATCACAACTGACAAAAAGAGAGTTCAATAAAACATGTGCGTAGTGTAGCTTCATTTATGTCCAGAAGCAAAACAAGGAACCAGAAGCACTTGCTCAATGGATCAGGGATACTGGACAAAAATTGTGATTGAAATGGGGGTCATTGACCCAGAAGTTAATGTTCATTACTTGTTACAGGCATATTTGTTCTTTTTAAAATTATACACTACAAATGTTAACTATGCTTTATAAATCATTATTAAAATAAATATCACCTATTTTTCTTTTTGTTGATCAATATTAACATATTGTGAGATAGTTTGAGTCAACTAAGTGGAAAACTTAATTGGAAATGGAACAATTTACTAAGCATAATGCTAAGCCTGCAATTTTATACATGCCGTTTTGGTGAGTTTTTTTGCATTTCTTATAAAGAAAATACTCTACATTTCAGTGAAGATGGAAGTACTGAAACTTTCCGGCTGAAGGAAACCACTGATGCTGGCCTCATGTATCATTTTCGCTGCGTTGCTCATCGCGCAATGCATCCAAATGATCCTCTTCCTGAGAATTTTCCAGACATAAAGGCAATGTTGTCCTGTCCATTTCAGTCGAATGCCAACTACAAATTAGCCTTGGAAGTTGTGAAAGACAAATGTAAACTTGTAGAGCAGCCAGAAATGACAAGCCTGAAGAAAGAAGATCAACATAAGAGGTAACTAATTCATTCTTTCAAACATATTGTGAAGTGGCTGGCAGAACTCTAATTGAGTGAAATGAAACATGATGTTGATTTAATTCTTGCAAAACCCCTTGAAATTAGAATAAAATCCCTTTTCATTTCATTATATATTATATATACTCGAATATAACCTGCATATTTTTTTCAAAAATTGCTAGTTGAAAATTGGGGTGCGAGTAATATTTGTATCAAGGTTGGTACCACGAACTTGAAGCATGTTGTACGTGGTCACATGACAGCATGGGTTAATGGAAAGCATTCATTGAGGTGCAGTAGGTGTTTACCTGTCATTCTCACAAATCTTTTTTCACGAAAGAAAACTACATGTAATTTACTTGGGATTTTATAGCTTGGAACTTGAAATAAAGTAGCTGTTTGGTGTCAACCTATCAGGCGCTTCAATGTCATCACAATGATGTCACTATGGTGATGTTTAAGCTCCTGATTGGCTGGAACTCAACAGAAGTGCCAGGTTATAAAAACAAGTATAGAAGTAGCAGAAGAAATCGTTATCAAGTATTACGGTGTTGTTTTCAGTTTTCATTCTTAAAGTTTCCTCCACGAATACACTTTTGAAATTACAATCTGAAGTTCCATTCATTTAAAAAATTTTACCGATAGATTTTAATAACTCTTTATTTACATATTTTAGAAATTACTTCAATATTTAATTTAACAGAATGCATTCCATATTTCAGAAGAAAAAAATCTGCAGATAAAGATGATTCTGATCCACAACCTAGCACCTCAAGAGATGGAGTAAATGCATTAATTTCTGATACCAATGAAGAGATAAGTATTGTTAAGAACACTTTAGTGGAAGTAGGAACTGTAAAACCTCACGAGGATTTCATTGCCCTTGTGACAAAAGGGGAAAATTTTAAAACAGGTATTGTCTCTGTCCCTCTCTCTTTTTTCTGTGACTCATAGAATGTACAAAATGTTCTGAATTATTTTTCACTGAGCCCTTCAATTATTGAATGTATCAATTTACATTTTCACTGTGCTTCTGAGTATTGTTTGATGAGGTTTATTTTTCATTTAATTTCAGTGCAAGACTTTTCATAGAACTTCAGAAGGTTGAACATTTGAACGGACCTCACTAAATTTTTTTTGTTTTTGGTTTCAGTGTGTGATCAGATGGAAAAAGTCATATTGAAATTGGTGTTGAACTCGTTTGGCTCTGAAAGTTTTCCCAAAGCACTTGTTGCTTTGACTACTCTGCGGAAGAGTTGTGTTCAAAAGGACCCAGGAATCTACAATGCTTGGTTACCAGAATTCAAAACTGCACTGAATGATCGGGACAGGCTAAATTTTTGGGAATTGGTTGCTAAAGGTAAGCATGTGTATTCTGTTACTATATATTTGGAATGTATTGAGTGTTTTTCATGTTGTTGGGTATTAATTAACCCTTTCGCTGCAAGCATGAAGTATACTCAGAATACTGCGCCTTTCCGGGGCTCTAACATTGAATATATTTGGGACAGGAACCTTTCGCAGATTGTTAATATCGGGAATTGAAGCCTATTGTATTAGTTCATTCCTTATTTGGGAGAGTTGTATGTACCCTAACGATATCCAATAATCTCTAGGAGTAATCGAAGGTGTTCTGATGATCCTTTCTTACTACCAGAGATTGCAAATGTATATTTCTGGAACAACATGATTTGTTTTCCCAACTGACGGCAGGATGAAGCCTTGAGAGACCCTGAGGATTCCTGACAGCAATGGTGGCAAAAGCAAGCAGCAGCTAATGCGCTGTGCTACACAACCCCTCTAGGCCTTCTTTGTTGAAAGAGAAAATCTTTCATGTATTACATTCCAGCATGAGATATGCACAATGAGTCCTCTTAACTGTTTGTTTCTCCTTCATTTATCTTAGTTCTGTTTTGTTGGACGACAATTCAGGTGGATGACTTCTATGATCATTACAATCAATATTGAATATTTGTTTTGAATGATGAATCTCTTATTAGTTATGTAAATAATACTGTGTGAAACCAGTTACCCTATTTACCTGAATATAGGTTGACTCTGAATATAAGGCAACGCCCTGATTTTGGAGAGGCGTCCTGAGAATTTTTTAAATTTTTAACTAATTGTTACCACTGAGTCAAAATAAAATTGCAAATTGTTTTGTTATCTAGAAAATTGCTGTCTGGATGAGAATATAAAGGCTTGTTTATTTATTTATTCATTCATTCATTCATTTTGAATTTTCATTTTCATTTTTTCAATATAATGTAATGCATATAAGAGGTTTAGCACATGTATGGAAGTATATAAGTGACATAGTATATGGTGGACTATGTGTAAAAAACACATTTAATTTCACAGTCCTTGTCATCAAAGCATTGTATCTCGTGAGTTAATTAAGGAATTTACTAGTGATAATAATATATAAAAAAATTTGTTTTCACATGTAGTAGTCTTATTGTTTGCAGATTAGACCTGGTGCATACAAGGCCAAATTACTCCAATATTTCCGTCGAATCAATAAAACCATTAATTACCTTATAGAAAAAACTAAGGTCAATCATCTGTCTTAGAGTTTGAAGGCTATCAATCTTGATTAGATCATAAACCATCAGCGTTTCAAACATTTTCATCTCAACAGTGATAAATCAGGGGTTTACAGAACTTCCGTTGAACACTCTCAATTCGTGTGGTATGGTGACCAAACTATGCTTCCATATTCTACTATTGGTACCACTAAGGCAGAGAATAAATGAGACAGTGTGTTGTTCTTAAATTCTTTTCTAGACCTGAGTATGAATCTTAAGATTTTGTTAACTTTCACTTGTAGGCACCTACCTGTCAGAAATGAACAAAGCCACTCAAGGGCTGTTAATCAAATGCCACAATTGCACAACTTTGAAAACAGAATTTTGTGATCAACCTTATCATAAGTCTTGCTAAAAATCTGTGTATAAAGAGTGCATTAAAATTAATTAGCTTTCCATGATATTGTATTTGATATGATTATTTAATTTTTAGAAATTTGTGTATTGTATGATTATATACATAGCCTGACTTTGTCACACATGGTGTATGCTGTATTTATGTGACAAATATATTATTATTATTATTATTATTATTATTATTATTATTATTATTATTAAATTAGTGTATTCTTTGTCAAATATCATTTCACCATCAGTTTCACATTCATCATGAATAAATTCATACTGTCCTCATTTTGCAATCCATAACATTTCATTATCATCATAAAATACATCTCTCAATTATGAGAGATGATTATCAGAACATTTTACACCCTTAATTTTTTTTAAATAAAAAAAATTGAATGATGATTTCATGAACACTGTTCTCTGGACTGACCGTACATTCTCGCTTTGCTATCAGTTTCATTTTCTATTTAAATAAATTAAATAAATCTAAATGCATATTCACGTTTTAATCTTACATTTTTTAATGCTTTAAAAAATGTATTTATTTTGTCATTTCAGCAGCAATTTTGCTGTATCACTCACATACAAAAACTGCACATGTTTAATATTAATCAACAAATTTGTCAGACAATACCTCACATAGTATACACCATATTTATTTATTTAATAAAATTAACTAGCGACATCAAGATCTCATAGACAGAAAGTAGTACAAATAGCCAAAAGAATGGAAATAAAAGTAAATACAAACTTACAAATTTCATATAATCAGAACTAATTAAGATGTCTGTTCAAAAAACCTTGAAAGGCATTATTTGCAGCACTCAAAATATCAAAGTCAGCGCCCAAGCGATTCACCAAACCACAAATGCATTTCATCTCATTAGCGCTATAGTTACTCGCAGAAGTTTCAACTAAAAAGTAAGTCGTTCTCCTAAAGATTCGTTTTGGAACTTTTAAACGGTATGCAAGAAAGGAATGTGTGTGCAGTCTGTTCTACCCCAGAAAATATCACGTAGGAAATAAATATCAGCACGCTTTCTTCTACAATGAAGACTACTTGGGTCTTAGGAGAATCATACCATAGTCATGATTGTATGGGGTTATAATACAACTTTAGCAATAAAACCACCGCCACACACACGAAACATCAACCGTGACTGTTGCACCAAAAATTAATGGACGACATGAATCTCACATGTCTTGTAAGGCTGATGTAAAAGAACTCAGTGTAGCTCTGTCGACACTGACCCGTCACTTCATTCCACGAGGTCACCATTCTGTTTCTCAGAAACTGATGTCGCTGTAAGATTTTCGGCGCACCTTCAAGGAGTGACCCCCGAGGCGACGATCCAGACTTCTCTCAAAGAAATTTTGTGATGACCCTTACATCATATCCTCTGTTCATAATCTGAAACATTTCGATTAGATCTCTTCGTTGTCTCCTCTGCTCCAGAGTTGGCAGTTCGACTGCCCGACATCTCTCCTGATACGATCTCTTCCGTAGATCAATAGCGGACTTCGTCAGTCGTCTCTGCACTTTCTCCAAGGCCTACCTGTCTTTTTCGTAAAAAGATGTTCATACTGCACTGGTGTATTAAAAAATTGGTCATATACAGTTTCTTCATTTCTGTCGACTTAACCATCGGAAACACTCCCCTCACTTGGTACAGTGCAGAATTTGCTCTCTTGATAACTGCTGAAACCTGTCTGTCCTATTTGAGATCTTGTGTTACAACTTCGCCTAGGTCAACCTGTGCGGTCACTGGTTGTACTGTACGTCTACCAATCAAGTACAAATTTTTTGGTATGTTTTTGCCCAAATGAAGGACTGCATTTTTTTGCTTTTCAATGGGAGTAACCACAAATCGGACCGGTCCTCTATCCTTTGCAAATCTCATTGAGGACCACTTGTAATATCGGGTTTCCATACAACTTAGTATCATCAGTGTAACTATTCCACTTCGATCTTACCCTTTTCCAAGGTCGGTCGTGTACAAAAGAAACAATATGGGTCCCAGAACAGAACCCTGAGGAACGCCAGTTGTAACAGGTTTTGACGAAGGGAGGATGCTTCCAACACGACCTTGAAAAGTTTTGCTAGTCAGATAATCTTTAACTAGCGAAGTAATTTTCCTCTAAAGCCTATAACACTGTTTTTGACTCCTATGTGGAACCTTACCGAATGCTTTGGCATAGTCTAGTTAGATAACGTCGGTGGGGTAATATCGCCTTAGTCCAGTCATTCAAAGCACTTAGCAGGTTGGTGGTCATGGATTGTTGCCAGGTATAAAACAGTGTTGTCGCCATGGAATAATCTAATTGATCATTGTATGGCTAAGCAAGTAGTCCATAATAAGCCTTTCCATTACCTTACCCACTGTGCAGGTCAGACTGACAGGACGATAGTTATTGGGCTGTTGCTCGCTCCCTTTTTAAAAAAATGGGGTAACTACAGCTGACTTCCACTAACGGAAGCTTGCCCGCATCCAGTAACTAAATATTTTTGTCAAAGTAGGAACGACCTGTGTTTCACATCTTTTCAGAAATACCGTAGGGAAGCCATCAGGGCTTCAATCAAGTCTACTTAGCGTCTGAGCAACCGTGACCGACGTCTGAGCAACCGTATCCACGTTTTCAAGAGTGACAACATCCATGTCTTCAACTGTGGGAAAGGGACCATCCGATTCGATGGTATAAACTTCCTGAAAGTAAACAGCATAATCCTCTACGATTGTCTGGTCAGATATCAATTCACCTCCTAAATCAAAACACATCGGCGGGCCAGTTTTGTTCGTCGTTTGACTTCTAAAATACGAATATATTCGCTTCTTTCCCTCCTGGATAATACTTCCTCATAATTCGCCTTCCGCTGTCTACTCAATTGTATAACCTCGTTATTAATTCCTCGATAGATTCTGTAATCATTCTTTCCGGCCCTTCTATAAGTAACCCTCGCCCTTCGCTCTGCTCTCGATTTCTTTACTATTTCTCTATCAATCAAGGGTTTATTTACATTTCTCCTCGCGTTAAATCTCGGCGAGTAAGCGTTTAGCTGTATCCTTTCTGAGAAAGTATCGTAATCCTTGGGCATCCTTCCCGAATTAATATCGGATTCCAGGTCTGTCTATCGAATCGTAATCAGCTATGTAGTAATTACCTTTGCAGCTTCAGCCCCGGAACTGTATGGGAGATTTCTATTTCCAAAAATATTACCATCACTTTGTGGTCACTCAAATCAATATTTGGTCTCATACTAGATGGAATAAAAATGCTTTCATCTGTCACGAGCAGCAAGTCTAATAGAGACGGATTGTAACCAGCTCTGATCCTGATTGGTTCGGTTACCACATGGATGATATTGGAATCATTATAGATCCGTAAGAATTCACGCTCCACTTCGTTCCTAGCAAGTACACCAAAG